TAGAAGCATTGGCTCTTCTATTTTTTTTTCTGAAAATAATACAAACTATAAAAGCCCAACTGTCTTATTTCAAACAACACTCTACAAAGTACAAATGTTGAGGGAGAGTAGTAAATATAAAATGAAATAACCACCACTTAAAAAACAAACATAATTCTGATATACACTTTGAAATAGAAAAAGTGAAAACCCCAAATTTCAATTTACTTCTGTAAATCAAACAAATGATAAGCTTTTGAGATCAACAGAGAGAATACTATACATCACTAAATCTCGACTGCTCCCCTTTACAATCCGATACTTTCTCAGAATACCTTCCCTGGTGAATCCGACCTTCTCTAGGACCCTCTGAGACCTCAAATTCCTCGAGTCAACTAGAGCTTCGAGTCTCTCTAAATCTGGGAAATCATGGAACAGAGAGGAGACAACCATCTTGACAGCTTGAGTAGCGAGACCTTGGCCCCAGTGCTCGGAGGCCAGAGCATATGAAAGCTCACCACGGCATTTTTCATTGCCAGAACCCGGCGTGACTGAAATAGAACCAATCGGCCTGTTTTTCAAGCAAATTGCTCTTAGCCAAGGATGCGGAATAGCGACATCCCTAATATAATTCAAGGCGTCTTCTCTAGATTTGTAAGTGTCCCATCTGCAGAAATGAGCCACTTGATCGTCTGTAACCCACACCATGAGATCATCCATGTCTGCAAGAACTAATGGCCGGAGGGAGATGTCAGACAGTTCCTCCTTCCCTTCTCCTCCCTCCAGTTTGAAAGAAGCTCCTTCCATTTCTTCTTTTGCTCCTTTCAGCTTTGGTTTCAACGAGCAAAGTAATATATTAATATTCTTCTTATAATGGAGGGGGCATTACTCCATATATATATCCTTGAGATTAGTTTAATATACTAATTAATTTTGGTACAAATGTATCTATCATACTTAGGCTCTTCTCCACGATAACAAAAGTCCAAAACCCATCTCCACTACCGGGCCCAGATATGAGAGGTCCATTTAAAAAAAAAATGAAAAATATGTTTAAATTTTTATTTCATATGATTTTTGATGTATACAATTGTTTATATATACAATTAGACCTATTCAGGGGCCAAGTAGCCCAACGACCTCGCCCGGCTTGACTTACTTTTTTTCAGGCTTGGACAAAATTTTAGGCTCATAAGCTCAAGTTTGGGCATTCTCAAATAAGCCCGGCCCGATACTATTATATATATAAAAAAGTACCTATGTTATACATACATACATACATACATACATACATACATACATACATACATACATACATACATACATACATACATACATACTATTCGGAAAT